GAAGATACACGAGTTTTATTTATTTTTATCTCTTACTTGCGAATAGTCATACTTAGGGTAGGGCGCCATGGAAAAATTTTAATTGAAAAATGGAGCCGCGACTAGGAAAAGTTTGGGAACCACTGGACTAGGGCATAGGAATTCACAGACTTGGCACTATGGATAAAAGCAGGATAGATTCGGCGGAGACTAGAGCTAGTTGGCTAACAGCAGACGTATTTGATCAGAGATGTGGTCCATGAAGCAAAGGCTCGATCATGGGAAATACTCGGGCTGATTAGCCTCAAGTTAGTCCCCCATCTAGCTAGATAATCCTGATTTTTAGGGACCTACTCAGCGTTCGTCTTGGTCTTCCTACCAATATGACCAAGTTGCAAAGACAAGGTGAAACAAATTCAGATTCTAAGATTACTCCATTAATTTAATAGGCCTTCAATAGATCCATGTAATTCATAGCTAAAATAACAGCTAAATGCGATTACAATCTATCATTCACGAAAAATATTTACTGCTTATGATTAAGTTGTTCTGCCAAATGATTCAATATTTGCCTAAGCTTTTTCCTATTCCTATCTGAGAATGATCATCTAATAAAAATGTGTAAATCTCTTTTGCTCTACTTAGTGAAGCAAGTCATCAACTTCCTTTGGACGCTCTTCAATTGGCTTAACATTTTTCGAGAACTCGTTTCGCATATTTGCTTTAATTGATCATATACAAACTTGGATATTTATACATCAAGCAGCATATTTTAGTTACACTAATTCTAAGTAAGCCAAATTCCTTATGAATAATGTGCAGACCATAATAATTATTTTTTTTAGTTTAGCATCTCGTTAAGGAAGCGCATTTATTAACCACGCCTCCAGCTCTCCGCCATTTACATATAATTGCGAGCAATCCCTTCTTTAGCCTTCAGGACTTCTTTCGGCGCCATAGCTACAAGTTTAGACCTTTACAATCAAATTAAGCCTGCCAAATATCTTCAACAATCTGCCTTAGCCATAACTACAACGGCTTCCTCTTTATCTGCTCTAAACCACAGTTCACTCAATAGTAATAAATTATATATTCTCATATGGTTCTTAGACACGGTTAACAAGTATGGCAACAACTTGTAAAGTATTATTGAGCTTTGTCTCCCCTGAAAATAATCTGTAATACTTAAATGTTATACAACTTTATCATTTTATGTGAACTTCTTACTATTCGGCAGTGCCATTTAAGAAAACCTAATAAGTGAAAGCGTTCGATAATGTTTTGGGCAGGTTTTCACTTTCTGATCTACTATAC